CATAATCATAGCAAATAGAATGCAGAGCAGACATGAAAGAGATTTGGAACAAAATATAAAACACCCTTTTCTCACTAATTTTTTGTTTTATAAATAGTTGTTTTTTAAAAAAAATTATGTTAACATTTAATAAATTTATCATTATTTTTAAATGAATTAATAAACATTTTTAAAATTTCTCTTTTAATTTCTAATATGATGAATATCAGTAAATATTACCACCCAAACAAAAACTGTTTGAAGTGCTCATTAATTTTTAAATTAGTAAGGGATTGCTGCCACCAAAAAGATTGAGAACCACTTGACTGTATAGGAATCTTCACGTAGGTCCAGGGCTGGGTAGAGGGAATGAGGTGGCATCACAATAGTTTAAATTGAAACAATTAGTCATTTAAAACAGAGCTTGACAAACTGCAGCCTGCATATCAAATGTAGCCCACAGCCTGTTTTTGTAAGTAAAGTTTCATTGGAACACAGCCCCACCCATAAGTATTGTCTATGGCTGCTTTCTTACTACAACAGCAGCGCTGAGTAGTTGCTACAGAGACCGTTATGGCCCCAAAAGCCCAGAGTACTCGTTTATATCTGGCGCTCTACAGAAATTTTGCTGGCCTTGAAGGGTCATTTTTGTAAGGTTGTTCTTTAGAAAGGCTACAAAAACTGAAACTGTTCAACAGTGCATGAGCTATTTAGTTGGGTTTACTGATAAACTTATTCTTTAGTGAATAGGGAGAAACCAATAGTAAAACAATTGTCTTTTTAAGAAGTAAGTTTTATAATGAGTATTTTTATTCAGAAGAATATAAAGAAGGAATCGTCCATAACATCAGTCCCAGAAAAAAAAAATATATATATATATATTTTTTCATATTTTGTTGAAAATAACTGTTTGTACAACATAGAAAAGAATAAAAAGAAAGTCAAAAGCTTTCCTTCCCTGGCCTCCAGTCATCCTCTCCAAGGGTATCCACTGTTAATAATTTTTAATTAATACTTCCAGAAAATAAAAATTTCTGCATATACCAGCTTGTATTTTCATATCCTTTAGAACATATTTACCCAAAATTAATCATACTGTAAACTATGTTGTATATCCCACTAGCAATACCTGAATGTAAACATTATTGACATCTTTAATTGATACTGATATTTTTAATTAATAATTCCAGAAAATAAAAATTTCTGCATATACCAGCATGTATTTTCATATCCTTTAGGACATATTTACCCAAAATTAATCATACTGTAAACTATGTTTTATATCCCACTAGCAATGCCTGAATGTAAACATTATTGACATTTTTAATTGATACTGATATTTTTATCAGCACTGCACTCTACCTAGTGAGCCACGGGCCGGCCCAGATACTGATATTTTTAATTAATACTTCCAGAAAATAAAAATTTATGCATATACCAGCTGGTAGTTTCATATCTTTTAAAACATGTTTACCCCAGGGCCGGCCCGGTGGCGCACTCGGTAGAGTATGGCGCTTGGGAGTGCGGCGGCGCTCCCGCCGAGGGTTCGGATCCCATATAGAGACCGGTCCGCTCACTGGTTGAGCGCAGTGCGGGCGCGACGCGGAGGGTTGTGAGACCGTTCCCAGTCACGAAAAAAGACAAAAAGGAAAAAAAAAAACATGTTTACCCCAAATTAATCATACTGCTGTATACAATGTTCTAAATCCCACTAGCAGTGCCTGAATGTAAACACTATTGACAGGTTCTTGTGTGGGTATCTGCATTTTTAAAATTTCTCATATAGATAATACCTCCACATCTTTTTTCTTTCAGCATTTGCATTATTTATTTTGACATTGTTAAAAATACCAAAATAGGGGCCAACCCCATGGCTCACTCAGGAGAGTGCGGCACTGGGAGCACCAAGGCCACGGGTTCGGATCCTATATAGGTACGGCCGGTGCGCTCACTGGCTGAGCACGGTGCAGGCAACACCAAGCCAAGGGTTGCAATCCC